AGATGTAAATTGACCCTGGCAGTGGCTTTCAAGATGGGTAAAAGCAGCCTGAGAGGGATTTGTATTCATAAGCCCTACTGATTATGGAGCTTGTGTTTTGCTGGGCTGGTGAAACGTTGAGTGTTTTTGCCTGAGTCATAGCAGAGTTTGCACTGTTCAGCTTCCTTTTTCTGGAGGGAAGAGCAAAATAATAGGAGAAGCAACCAGCAGTGAATTAATCAGTGGCTTTCAAGATGGGTAAAAGCAGCCTGAGAGGGATTTGTATTCATAAGCCCTACTGATTATGGAGCTTGTGTTTTGCTGGGCTGGTGAAACGTTGAGTGTTTTTGCCTGAGTCATAGCAGAGTTTGCACTGTTCAGCTTCCTTTTTCTGGAGGGAAGAGCAAAATAATAGGAGAAGCAACCAGCAGTGAATTAATACCTTTTGCCTTAATTGAAAGCAATGTGTTTGGTATTTCTCAGTCCATCTGAAACAACTTCCAGACTTGCTGCTTCAGATTTGCCAGGGACCTACCCTGCCGATCCTGCCAGGCATTAGGAAGTTGTTAGCTCTCCCTTCTCCCCCAGCTGCTGGTGAGGAGAGCCACACTTGTGCCTTCAGCAGTGTTACTCATGTCAGCTTTGTGCTCCAGACAAGACACTGCTTGCATTCAAGATTTATTCTCATTCTCAAATTTCCTGCATACATACATTTTATGTATAGATGACAGTGCTAAATGCATTGTCCTCCGACACTCTGCCTGAGCGGAGGAGGACAGAATCTTCTTTAATTTCCTTGCCCTAGTTTTTCTCATTCCTTTGAAGAAATAAGGTGCTTTTTTTTCCCATCAGCACCTCCACATTATATCAGACTTCCTTTGGCATGTAGGTGCTTTTGGTTTTGACAAATAAAGTTGGTCTGTCAGTCAAACACATCCTTGCTATATCCATTAGCTGTGCTGCCAGTCACTGGTGCTGGGGCTCGTCGGCACAGCGTTGAGCAGCATAATAACTTGCTCTTCTGAAGTGGTGTAGCTTGAGGGAGAAGTTTTATATGAAGGCTGTAATTGCATTATGGAATATTGCAGTGTGCTGAAAATGTGCCTGTATTAGAATAGAAAAATCTAAACAAGTGGAGCTGCTTTGTATAAAAAGGCTCAGCCTAAAGCTGTTGATCTTGATTCGGGTGGGAGTTCAAGTTTTACTCTACCTGTGAGTGCCCTCTGAGATATCAGTGACAAACATATTTCTGCTCTGGCACATGGGTGGTATTTCTCTTCCCAGCAGAGATGCAGGGGTCTGCATGCAGATGAGATTTGCTGACATGTGTCCCCTGCTCAAATTGATCCTCGTTAACCTCGTTCGGAGCGATGATGCCGGAACATAAATCCTTGGTGGCGATGTTGGTGACTCAGCTTTTGGAGGAGCAGCAGCTCTGATGGGCTTTTATAAAAGCAGACAGGTGACAGCATTTGTGAGGACTTGTGTCTGGCCAAGATGAGTCTGCTGGCCCCGAGCAGCTGCGGGGAGGGAAGCCCTTGGCTGTGCTGGGGCTGGCAGCAAAAACCGTGTGCCAGCTGGGCGCCTGCTGAAAGGCTCAGCTCCATGCCAGCAGTAATTGATTGTAGGCTTTCCTGGAGCTCAGCCCTGCTACCAGCTGTAGCTGAGTCTCTTCCTCTTTTCCAACCCCCTTTTTTTTTTTTTTTTCCCCCACCCACCTGCTTCTTAAATACATTCTTTTTTTCATCATCTGCTAAGCCCTTCTCATCCCTATTTTTAAGAACGGGGAGGAAGTCGGTGTGTCGGGTTTCTGGTAAATGTGCATCGCATCCCCCGGGAACAACAGTGGCATAAGCTTCCAGGAAAAACACAAGATGACACATAAATCCTCATAAAAATCCCATTTACAGATTCATAGCTTCAGTACAAGAAACAAATCCTGGCATTGTGGAGCAGCTATAAACAGCACCCTGTGAGCTAATTATGACTTGCTGTGTCCTTAGCCATGGCAGGCACTAATCTGCAGCTCCCCCCTCCTAGGAGATGGGAAGGGATGAGGAGGAATGGCTAGCAGTGAGCTACAGCTCTGCTCTGATTTATTCAAGAGGCAGATTTGTTGTTTTGCCATAGGTCACAGGGGGAGAAAAATAAGGAGATCTAGCATTCAGGTAAAAAATTGGCTTTAGGCCTCGTTAATCTACAATAGGTGATGTGTGAGTGTGGTTAGGTAAACATCCTTTTGAAATCCATGTTTAGTATTCTGCATGCTCACCACTGTGTGTTTGCAGCATCTGTACTCCAGTGATAGATGTTACCACAGACCTCCAAAATCAGCTGCATCTGTTTAGTCAACTGCAGTAAAAGCAAAGCATCAGTAGCCTTTCTTTTACAGGAGGCTGCTAATATTTTACTGTTTTCATTTTCCAGCATCCATAAATCAAAGGTGTGATGGCTCTGTCCTAATGGCACTTCATGGGGGTGTTGCTGTCAGCTTTGAAAATGGTAGCCAGCTCTCACTACTAAATTGAAATTAAGCAAAAACTTGTCATAGGGTGTTTTTCATCAGAGTCTTTGCTGTCTGGAGAGGTATGAGGTGCGAATCCTGTGTTGGATGCCTGGATTTGCAATGCAGAGAGTGTCTGACAATAAACAGGTTATAAGGAAAGAAACCTTCAACTTTCAATAATTTCACTTTTTAGAACAACTGCTTCACTTTGCAAGCAGATCAAGTTTTTCTTTAAAAGTATTTGCCTCTTAATCCTACTAAAGGTTTTCTTTGGATTGATTAGGAAAAAAAAAGAGTTTATTTTCAGACCTTCATAACAGTAATGTAATTCCATATGTCTCTGCAGCATTTGTTTAGTGTTGTTACTCACGTGGATGCTCTTTGCAGTAATAGATTATGCCCTTAAAAATATTTTAGTCCTAAAACTACCAGGCATAGCTTGACTCATGGTGACAGACTGGATAGGAAGCACTTGGTGCTCAGAAGCAGGTCAGACCACAGCAGTTTGTGCCTTATTAAAAGCTTTAACTTCATTTAACTCTCAGTGCCAGAGGGGCAGTTGACACTGGGTAGCTTGATTTTGGATTTGAGACATTTCAGCCATAAAAATCCTGGCTCATGAAATAAACATCAGCATATCTGACAGTGCTAACAGAGCTGGCCCACTTGTGTCTCCGAATAAAATGAAGGATGCACATAAATCTTTACAGGGTCAGGATTTCTGTGTGGCTGGATCAGATGCTGAGGTTAGGAGAGTGTTTCAGAGGTGGGTGATTAGCTTTCAACTAGAGTTTCTCCAGTTTAATCCCCCAGGAAGGAAAGCTATCACAACTTCTGATAAGATAAACCTCTGGGGTGTAACTATCACCCTGTTTCTGGATTAAAGAACAAAGCAGAAACTGAAAAAAAACACAGCTACTGTATTTAAAATAAAAGATGGCATCTCACTGTGCCTTTCAATCCAGTGCTGAATTATACATTCAGCCCATGGTAGTTATTTTTATATCACATCTCATAGCCTCCACACTTCAATATCTCCCTGGATGTGACTTTAGGCCATATAAAGGTTGGCTACAAAAGGTTATTTTTATGAACTTCTGGGGGTTTGATGCTTAACCTGTTGGAGAACTGTTAAACTGCATTTTTTGGTTCATATCACCTTTGCCCTTTCCTTTCCCCTTCTCCAGCTTGCTCCCCCATGCATTTTTTGAGTCTGTTATTCAATTTGTTACCTATGATAACATCTCAAGGGAATAAAAAAAAATACATGTCTTTGAAGTTTCAACGAAATTGCCTGTGTTGGGCATGGAAGAAAGATCAGTGCTTCCCTTGAGGGGAACACAGCAGTAGGTGCTCAACCCTTTATGTCCCAGGGAAGCCACATGGAAGAGACACATTGTCATGCCTCAACTCTAGGACAGTCTTCTTCCATGTGTGTATTGTCACAGGTGCTAGAGGATACAACCAAAGGACTTTTCACAGAGTGGCTTTTTATACAGGCAAGAGGGAATGGTTTTAAACTAAGAGAGGAGAGAACACAGATGTTAGGAAGAAGTTCTTTACTCAGAGGGTGCTGAGGCACTGGCTCAGGTTGCCCAGAGAAGCTGTGGCTGTTCCATCCCTGGGAGTGTTCCAGGCCAGGTTGGATGGGGCTTGGAGCAACCTGGGCTGGTGGAAGGTGTCCCTGCCCATGACAAGGGCTGAAACTAGACAATATTTAAGATCCCTTCCAACCCAAACCATTCTGGGATTCTATGATCAGTCAGCCCTTGGTAGAAAGCATCCTTTACCTGGAGAGGGAGCTCCTCTCCACTTGATCCACCCCTAAATTGTGTCTCCAAAAGTTACTTTGGAGAATTTTAAGTTAGGAAGAAGCTAAAGTTTTGCAATGTTAAGGAGAAAGCTCTAGCTTCAGACTTTGAAGAGAGTTGGGTGGTGATGAGGGGAGAATTAAGGCAGAGAGTTGGAACAGGGTTGATTTTTGTCTTGCTATGATCCTTTAATCATATTACTTAAAAATGAAAGATTTATGGTGTGTGTGACTTAAGAGGTGTTAATTGAACCACTTAGTGGCTGCAAATCCCTAAACATTTTTCACCTGTCAGTTCCTGTTTTCCTCTCTCAGTCTATGTGCAAGTGCTTTCCAAATGCATGTTAACCCTTTAACACCATCAGGCTGCAATAGGACAGAATGTTTAGCTTGATCTTCGTTGTTCCAGACTTGATGGACATACCTTGGAGCACAGAAACTCTTCATTCTTCTCCCTACAAACCTGACATTTCTTAGATCTGTCACACCTCAAACAGAACTTTTAAATTCTCTCCTTTCTTTTCCTACTTGTCTGTAATTCCTAATTTTCATCGTCTGGGGTGATTTCTTCTTTGACAAGCTGTGGTTATGTGATTATCCTCTTCATAGTTCAGCTTGCAGTGCCTCCTCTGCCAGTCAGGTGTAGATTTTGTGCTCTGCTGACACAAAGCAACCATCTTCCAACCAGCCAAGGTGCCACCAGCACATCTGCCTGTCTCTAGGACCCTCTCCACTTTGTGATGCTGCTTGATGTATTCTCAAAGCCGTCCAGATAGAAGACTGCCTCCCAAGATCTGGCTCCAGGCTGTATTCTTCCTGCTTCCCTGTGATGGCTACACTTAAGAGATTATTTTCTTTCTTTCCTTAAGCTCCTTGAAGCGCTGACATAAGTGGAGATAAGCTGGCAGGGGAGACAGGTTTGAACTGATAAAGGTCTAGTGTGGTTCCTACGCCCCTGCCATCAGCTGGAGACTTCTCTCTGCCCTGAGCTTGCTGTGGTACAGCTCTGGTGCCCTGAACTGCTTTTGCTTCCATCAGTGACTGCCTGGAAACAAGACTGCAGATGTCAGACATGGTTATCTCTGGAATGCTGTGACCTTCACCTCGCAGTCCTGGTGGGCAGTGCCTGCCAGCTTCATTTGCTCCCCAGGGAGACACTTAAGCCTTTGGAATGAGGCTCCTAGTAAATCACAGGCTGTCAAGACCTCCTTTTCTGTGTGGGTACCTAATGGTAGTAGAGCTGGAGTAATGATAGCTCCTTGATGATACATTTGTGGACAGTCCTTGTGCCTGTAAGGACTGGGGACACTAACATTTTCTCATTAATGATGTGTCGTGGAAGAGGTGAAGCTAGGGAAAGCCTTGCCCGAGCTGTATCACCTCAACCAACCTCTCAGCTGATGGTTAAACATGATGACTTATATTGGGTAAATAAAATTTTAAGTCTCTGAATGTAAAGTTTTAAGCTCAAGGGGTGCTGTTAACTGTGACCATAGTCAGGAGCAGAACGCCAATGCTGCTTGCTGCTGTTTAACTGATTGAAAAGTAAGTGTTCCTTTTCCTTTCTTAAGGCAGCTAAATATGGTATCCCCCCCTGTAAATTACTAAGGAAAACAGGATGCAAGTGTATAGTGGAACCAAGAATTTGACAAGGTATAATACTCCTAAATCAATATCCATGTACCTACATCGTACTCCAATATGTAGCTGCACTGATCAAAGCAGTACTAAAAAGTCACAGAATTGTGCACTTCTAGTTTATATTGTTGGTTAAAACTTGGCCCCAAGGCTACTATAATCTAGTTATCTGTGTCAGAGCTGTTTGAGGACCTGCACAAATTGCAGCTGTCAGTTGAGCCTCTACTGTGTGTACCACAGTTCATACCAACTGGGGTGTTTCTTTGCCAGATGGTGAAAAATTGGTGAACAAGTGTTACAAATTTTCTTACCTGTCATTTTTTGGGATTCAGAGTGGAGACATAGTGCCAGAATGCTGTGTGTGTGACTTGGCAGTGCTGCTGCACTTTTTTGTCCTCTGCTGATGGCTAGGGTTTGTAGATGGAATTGTCACTTAGTTTGGCACAGCCACTTAATTCTGTTGCAAGTATCAACCTGTATGATGCATTTTGCAGTTCTTGATCAGAAACATGTCCTAAAATACTCATAGCAAACAAACTGCTGTTTCCTTCTGGATAGGAAGAGGTTTTCAGCACTTACAGCCAGCTGGAAGTAGTTTCTCAGGAGTCAAACTTCTGTTTGCACATAGGTACAGATACAGAGCATTAGCTATGTGCAGGGCAGAGGTTGATTTGCTATCCATGCAGCTGTGTGTTTTACACATAGAGATGCTGTTAGGTGAGTAGTTGTCTTTATGGTAATAGTAGCAGTAGTTTATGCTAATGGTAATCGTAGTAGCTATTGGTAAGAGGTTAAGAAGTCAAACCTTGAGCTCTCTGAGAATTTGTGTGGAATTCAAATAGCAAAACAATCACAGTGTTAGAGATAAATGCTCTTTTAAAAGATCCTAAACCCTAGCTCACATATTGAGGGGGTAATGTCTCTTCAGCCAGTAAAGCTTTTCTTTTTGTGGAGCTTGTTATATTTCTGGTGGGTGTTGGTTTTCCCTATCCTGTGTTTCAGTGGGGTGGTTTGATGAAGCTCTGTGTGCTTTGCAAGGCACTGATTGTCTCATGTATTGCCAGAGTGATTTTTGTGTCGTACATTATGATTTCCTTTAAGACTGACCAGGGCTCTTTTTCTTTTAAAGCTGTATCAGCTGGAGTAGTTACCACAAGAACCTGCTAGCCAGCAGTGACTATGAAGGCACAGTCATCCTTTGGGATGGATTCACAGGACAGAGATCCAAGGTCTACCAGGTAATGTGCAGTTAGTGAACAATGTTTCCCATGCTGTGCACCGTGTTGGGGGAGCAGCATTCAGTATGAGGTTCTGCTTCTAGCCCAGCAACAGGCTTTCCTGTTCCACAGGGTGAAATGGATGCTCCTCCAGTTTGCTTAATGTCTCATCTGTGCAGCTTTATTGAGCTGTAGTCCTCTGAGGGAGGCAGCAATGTCTTCCTTTCACAGTCGTGATGCTGTTGACGTTTTCTTGCTGCTGCTTTCAAGCAGGGAATCTGCACAGGGAGAAATGAGTTTCTGGAAGCTGTCTTGCCTTTCCTTAGAAACTTCTGTCTCTCCATACCTGTTCCACTTCAGTGTTTGACAAAAGCCTTTTGTAAAATCCTGCAGTGATTGCTGATGCAGGTGCTCTTAGAGCAGGAGAGCAAAATGCAGACCTAAGTGGTGAGGGTGGGAGAAGGAAGCAGTAGGCAGAACCCTTCCTTCCCAGTACACAGGCAGGCTGAGCTCCACAGTGACACCTGCTTCAGGAGAAGTTTCTGGCATTTTGTCTCTTCATTCAGCTTGAACATTGTGTTCCTCCAGAATGGCTTCTGAGAGGCTTGTGATCAGAACAAGGAGGTTGTAAGAGAGTGATTGTGTCTGGGGAGAGGCTGAAGTGCTGCAGGCTGCTGTGTAGGTGACACAGTGCTACTACAGAACCACTGAAACTGGTCAGTGATAAGGAATGAACTGCAGATTGGCCTTTAGTTCCCCTCCTTGAGAGTTCAACATAAGTTTTAATTCCTATTTAAGCCTCTGTTTGCTTTTTCATTGTGTTTTGGCCACTTTATAATGCTTGTTTTCACTAATCCTTTGCATATCTCAATGAAAGAGAAATTATACTGGACAAAATAAATCTTCTCTATTTTCCTCCCTAATACATTTTGCATTTCTTTATGAGGCTGAATAATGAAACTAGAGAGGACCAGCTGTTGCTTATGTTAAAATAAACTCATTTTGCTTCCAATCAGATTACTTGAATTTTTGATTTGGATTTGCATAGAGACATGCACACTGACATCTGCTTTGCATGTATTGAAACCCTTTAGTGACTTCACCCTAGCAAGCTTTTCATCTTGCAAGCCCATGTGAAGGCTTTATAAACAAAGGCTTTGACTGAATTTCAGGTTTTATTCAGTGCTGTGTTCTGCTTCCACGTGGGATGTGCCAGCACAGCAATTACAGCTCTTCTGTGTTTTGGGTAGGAGTGTGC